AGTTGACCATGAAGTCGTATTGGTTAGCTACGCTGCTTGGTCCGTGTATTGTCCACCCTAATGTGGAATTTACTGCCGTCAATCCATTGGTCAGTTGTTTTACTTCGCCCGTGACAAGCTTCCAATAATAGTCTGCGCCAATCAAAAGCACAATTCCGTTACGCTGTCCTTCTTCAGAACTATCAGCCAGCTGATACTTTGCTGCAAATTGTCTGATCGCTGGTTCGTTTAATGTAGGTGGATTCAGTGTATCAAAACAAATTTCAGGAACTTCTACTGCATTAATCTGAGTTATGTTTCCTGTATTCAAGCATTTGAGGTTTACTTGCACTCGATTGCATAACTTCGCTGGTGTTCGATCTCTTTCGCCAAATGGTTGAATAGATATCTTATGCTTGCCAATAACTTTTAGTCCTAATTGACGAGAGATACATTCTCTTATGAATGTGAGTTGGCTACCGCCGTCCAGCACCAATCTTATCGTTGCATTGTCATCTTTCGTTACTATTTGTGCGCACGCTGTTTGTAAATACACTTTACTCAGTTGACCGTTTGTTAGCAAACTTGTTGAATTTGTCGCTGTATCCTCGTCGTCTGTACGCCTCTGGTCACTTAGTTTTCTTCGCTCGCATACAGTCGTTGCATGTCGCTGGAGGCATCTTCTGCACTTGATATTAGTTTTGCACTCCTTTGATAGATGCTTTGGTTTTGTACATCTATAACATCGTCTATCGGCTTTGAGTTTGTCCTTTTTCTGTGTTATTGTCAAGGATCCGTTGCAATTTGGTGTTGTATGATCTGACGACTTGCAGAAGAAACACACGTTCTTTACTTCCGTTAACAATCCCGCCACAGTATAATTGTCTTTATTTTTCGCGTACCCGTGACCTTGTTTAGATTTTTGATTATCGGTTTTATTACGATCCTTGCCTGGTCCGGTTGTCACGCACTCCGCTTGTTCTAATGAACAAAGTTCAATTTTTATAAACTGAAGTAAATTTGTCAACTCTTTGTTGTAATCCGCGCTTTGAGTTGAATCACCGCTAACCGAAACCGCATCGTCGCTATTCTCGTGTTCGTTATTGAATTGTCCCGTAAATTTGTCCTTATTAAATCTCACTCGCATTTTATACGGTAACGCTTTAAATATTATTGATTTTACTAGGAGTCCGTATTGTTCCGGCGCTATTCCTAGTGTCGCTAAAGATTTTGTTATTGTTGACGCTGTATTAAATAGCTTTCGAAGCCCGTTAATGTCCGTTTCGTATTTTACCGACGCGATATCCATTAATGTTTCAACGTATGAATCGACGATACGTTGCGAGTTTCCGAATTCCGCTTTCAAAAGTTCTATCGCGTTTACGTAAGAAGCTCCACTCGACGTCAACCCAGCTATAGTGGCCGCCGCACGTCCCGTTAAATAAGATTTTAAATAAGCAAACTTGCCTACGTCATCTAATTCGCTATCATGAACCGATTGTTTAAATTGTTCCCAGAATTCTGGCCACGTCGCGATATCACCGTTGAATTTCTTTAATTCTAGTTTCGGTAACCTTACCGTATTTTTAACGGTTGTTTGTATACCAATCGCTGGAGATGTCCCGCTTCCAGCTGGACTGGGCGCCTGGCTAGTCGTTTCCCCGCTGACGGCGCTGACGTTAGCCTTCCGACGGCGGCACTGCAACCTTGCTATGGCGTCCATCGCTTGTTCATTGTACTCTATGATTTTTTCGCACTCCGCTTCCATTTGATCTTCTCCAAACGTAGGCGCCAATCTCTCGTTTACGTCTTCTAAATTTATCTGAACCGCTTTTATTTTCGCTAGTAATACGTCGATTTCATCAACAATATCACTATTTAATTGCCGCGTGATTATATCTTTCGATTGATTTATCAGCTTGGTTAACTGAGCACGTGTTGTCTTTCTTACAGCTAAATCCATCGTTGATTTTCTTTGTTCTCTACACACACGTCACTTCGCTACGTAAATTTCCGTAAGCTTCCCGTGGTTTCGGCACCAAAATGTGGAATTAGTTTTAATAAAACGCACCACGGTTCATAAAAAGCTTACTTATTTACTCTTTTAAACACAACAAGTAACTTTAGATAGAAACAACA